AATTTGCTATCCAATTTTTTTTTTGACATCATTACAAATTAAACCTTTCTCTTTGAGAGGAAACGGACTCGAACCCGAATATGGTGAGAAGACAACAGAGGTTAGAACCACTAGCTCACTTACTTCTTTTCCATTTTTCTTTTTAATAACAATATGTAACGATGAAATAAGTTAAAAATGATAATTTATATATATAATTATGGGATTTTGACCAATAAGTGAATAAATAAATAATTGTAGACTATGACTATTTTGTTAAGAGCCAATAACATTATTATTTCTTACTTAATTCATCCTTCCACATTAAAAATTTTCCTAAATGTTGATATGATTTCTTCAACGTTGAAAAAAAAAATTACTTATTTTGGTTTTAGAGATATAAATATTTTTGGATAGAAAAACTATGATATAATTTGTTTTTGTTTTGGTTACCACCATTTATAATAATATAAATGTTATTACTACATAGTACATACAATACAGTTACATATTAGGTAGACCCTACAGTAATGCCAATAAGGGCCCATAAAGCCGTAATGGGCTTGAAGGTGGACCACATCTGGACCATAAAAACCAGGCTGTCTAACTTAGTAACGCAGCTGTAATCCACGTGTAATTATCATTCATTAAGAGATCTAAAATTAATTAAATCAAAGTAATCAATCCCCTTTAAAATCAGAGTGGTCCAATCTTTTTTTTTTTCACTTTTCATAAAGAGTTAAAATAGTAATTATTAACAGTGCCATTATCATTATATCAAAAGGCTCATTTTAACTGTTCATACTTTTTTCGTAATTAGATTAAGAAGATAATGTGATGATGATTAGAGATAATGAGGAGTGATTAAGTATGACACGTGGCGGAATCTCAACGGAACTGTATGATACAGCTGTGAATTTGAAGGGTTTGACGTAGACTTGTGATCTTTTTTTTTTCCCACAGCAACTAATTAGCTGGCTTGCTACTAATTAACCGGCATACTCAATTTTTTTTGTTTTATTTTTTACTTTTGTAGAATTCAAATAATAAAAACAAAAGTACCAAAATAAATTAAAAATATAAACAATGTATATTATTTTGAAATAAAGTTCTGACGAATTTTTTTTTTGAAGGTAGGTTTTTTAAATGAATTTGAAAATTTTATATATATAACTAGTGTCATTCAGTTATATATTTTATAAATTTTATTGTTATTTAATTTATTGATTTTAGAATTCTATTAAATGTTAATGTGATTTAATATTAAAGTGGTTTAAGTGATGACTTAATTTGATTATAATTTAATAAAAAACAAAGGAAAAAAACGTGAAGAAACAATTCTTCCTTTGACAAAAAAAAAGAAAAACAATTCTTCCTTTTTTATAGAATGTTTTGGAAAGAAACTGTCAAATACTATTATATATTTACATTAGTTTAATTATTTTGAATTTCAGTCGTTGAATATTCATTTCAAAGAATAAATTACCAAATTCTTTTTTTTATAAAATTGATAGAAAAAAAAATCTTATTTGAAAAGAGAGAGTGCGAGTAGAGGAGAAGTCATCTTCTTTTATTGCTTCAAGAATCAATCTTCTTCAACCTAATGAATGATCTTCAATTCTTTTTACGTTCTTTTTTTTTTGGTTATGTAATCTCTTTCTTGAAATTAACAATCATTAATCGCATAAAAAAGAGTCAATTATCATCTTTATTTTTTTTCTTAATATAATCAATCAATAATTAAATCAAAAGGTAAAACAAAACTTTTAAATTAAACTAATCTCTTTGTAGACCCAATTAAAGAAAAAAAAAAAGCATTTTTTTCAAAAAACATATAGGACAGTGAAAGGGTTTTGTGTGCATAAATGTTGTTGCTTCATCTCTCTCTCATTATAGAGAGTTATAGTATAATGTATACATCATTCATTAGCTATGAGATTATGAGAGCGAAGAAGATATAAAAACAAAGGATCACCTAAAAGTGAAAAGTACAAGACACCAAATCTTGAATTTTTATCTCTTACACAAAACCCACTAAGCCACAAAGAAAACACAGAATCGGTTCTTTTTGCCTTCTTGCACAGAGTTCTTCAGAGTCAGAGGAGACATAAAGGTTCGATTTTTATTTCTTGATTTGCTCAAAGTTTTCGTTTTTTCTTGTCAAAATCTTGAATTTGATTATGGGTTTTGTGCTCTGTTTGTGAATGAATCGACCCACATCATTCTATTTTAGGGACTTTGTAGTTTTCTCGATTTAGTAATAGAAAAGTTTGAGTCTTTTTGATGTTTATCTTCTTGTTTTAACTGATTTGACTCTAAATCTTGATTCAGATTTATAGTTGATTTGGTGATTTTGGGAAGAAACAGAACAGCCATGGACGTAGGAGAGAGCAATGAGAGGGGAAAAGACGAATCTGCCCATCAAGCTTCACCGAGGAGTCCTCTGAGTTCTATAGATCTTGCGATTGATGGAGCTATGAACGCTTCTATTGAGCAGTTGTATCATAACGTTTGTGAAATGGAGAGTTCTGATGATCAGTCTCCGTCTAGGGCGAGTTTTATTTCGTATGGAGCTGAATCTAGGATTGATTTGGAATTGAGGCATTTGGTTGGAGATGTGGAAGGAGAGAGGAAGAAAGAGATTATCTTGGAGAAGAAGGAAGAAAGTAATAGTGGAGGTAGCTTGAGTGAGAAGAAACCAGTTGAATCTCATTCGAATGGTAAGAAGGTTGCGAAAACGAGTCCTACTAATCCGAAGATTCCCGGTTCGAGGATCTCTTCGAGGAAATCTCCGGATTTAGGGAAGGTTTCTGTGGATGAGGAGAGTCCTGAGCTTGGGGTGTTGTTGTTGAAGCAAGCTAGAGAGTTGGTTTCTAATGGGGAGCATTTGAATAAGGCTCTTGATCTTGCGCTGCGAGCGGTGAAAGCGTTTGAGAAATCTGTAGAAGGAGAGAAACAACATGGGTTGAATTTGGTGATGTCTTTGCATATCTTGGCTGCTATATATGCAGGGTTAGGGAGATACAATGACGCGGTGCCTGTTCTTGAGCGTTCTATTGAGATACCAATGATTGAAGATGGGGAGGATCACGCGTTGGCGAAATTTGCAGGCTGTATGCAGCTTGGTGACATGTATGGTTTGATGGGTCAGGTGGAAAATTCGATTTTGCTTTATACCGCGGGTTTGGAGATTCAAAGACAAGTTCTTGGAGAATCAGATGCAAGAGTTGGTGAAACTTGTAGGTACTTAGCTGAAGCTCATGTTCAAGCAATGCAGTTCGATGAAGCTTCGAGGCTTTGTCAAATGGCATTGGACATTCATAAGGAAAATGGAGCTGCCACTACGGCTTCGATTGAAGAAGCTGCAGATAGGAAACTGATGGGGCTTATCTGCGATGCGAAAGGAGATTACGAGGTTGCACTTGAACATTATGTTTTGGCAAGCATGGCAATGTCGTCTCAGAATCACAGAGAAGATGTTGCGTCTATAGATTGCAGTATAGGTGATGCTTACATGTCTCTAGCTCGGTTTGATGAAGCGATATTCGCATACCAGAAGGCTTTGGCGGTGTTTAAGCAAGCAAAAGGTGAGACTCATTCCTCTGTTGCTTCGGTTTACGTCAGGCTTGCTGATTTGTACAACAAAATCGGGAAACTGCGCGATTCGAAATCGTACTGCGAAAATGCTCTTAAGATTTACCTAAAGCCGACTCCGGGAACTCCTATGGAAGAGGTTGCTACGGGCTTTATAGAGATTTCTGCGATATATCAGTCGATGAACGAGCTTGATCAATCTCTTAAGTTGCTAAGACGGGCGTTGAAGATATATGCAAACGCTCCAGGTCAGCAGAACACAATTGCAGGTATTGAAGCTCAAATGGGTGTGATTTCTTACATGATGGGGAATTACCCTGAAGCTTACAACATATTCAAGAGCGCGATATCAAAGTTCCGCAACAGCGGGGAGAAAAAAACCGCTCTTTTCGGAATTGCATTGAATCAGATGGGACTTGCTTGCGTTCAACGTTACGCAATCAACGAAGCTGCGGATTTGTTCGAAGAAGCAAAAACCATTCTTGAGAAAGAGTATGGACCGTACCATCCCGATACATTAGCGGTTTACAGTAACCTTGCTGGAACATACGACGCAATGGGAAGGTAATATACAAACTCAAAACAGAGCAATTCTCACTAGGTTATGTTTTTGTTTTTTGGGATTTCCTGCGGTACAAGCAATCTTTTATTTCCTTTTACAGGTTAGATGATGCTATAGAGATATTGGAGTATGTTGTTGGGACAAGAGAAGAGAAGCTCGGGACAGCGAATCCCGAGGTGGAAGACGAAAAGCAGAGGCTTGCTGCGTTGTTGAAAGAAGCTGGAAGAGGAAGGAGCAAGAGAAACAGAGCACTTCTTACTCTTTTGGACAACAACCCTGAAATCACAAATGGACAGAGATCGGTTTATTGATGAACGAACCGGTGTTATGCTCCGGTCTAAAATGTATATATATACGAAATACGAATTCAAATACTGTACTTATACAGTCGAAAGAGAAGGAAAAATGAAGAGGCATTATGATTTCTGATTTTATAAACATTCTTGTTGCAATTCTAATCTTTCTTTATAAGTAAAATGTAAAGAGTAAACTCAATTGGATTGGTCTTATTGTATTATTATGATCTACGTGAGCGTTTTAAATATTCTTCTAGATGTATGTTTCTGATGAAATCTGATTGAAAAGGACCATTGATCTTGTGTCAACAAGGTTTAGATCGACTCTTGTCTGGTCGGTTTTGTCATGTTCATGAATGTCAAACAAAACAGCCACGAACATACACATACCTATTCCACATGTAACATGAGAACATAAAGAAACGACCCACCGAATCAAGAAGTTGTCATTAAGCAAGGCAACAAAAAAAAGTTGGCTCTAAAGCAAACGGTAACCTGAACTTGGATAGTTCAACTTCGATTAGCAAACCTGTTACTAATTATATGATTTGGTCATTTATATAATAAGATAAGGTTTGAATATAATTTTGGTTAATTATTCGAAAAGCACCAAAAACTAGGACAGTTTACATTCATATGTTGGAAATTTAATTTTTCGTTAGCTTGCAAACTTTTTGGGTTGGTAGAGGTGGATTCGATATCGAACCATCGAGGATCTGTTTTGCGACTAGCATATTCGCGGTTTCGGTGTAATGTATACCATCCCAACTTATGAAATTTGTAGGGTTTTTGCAGGAAGTGCTATAAAGTTCTGTCCCATTTGGAAATATTGTCTTTCCACATCCCATTCCACGTCCGACCGCCCCAACGCAGCAATAATCAAAAGGATCCACAAAACCTGCGTTTAGATTTGATTAATGTAACTAAGGTAAACCAGAAATTTATAAGATTTAATTTGGTTTTAATTGGTTCTTGGTTTAGTAGTTAGTACTTACCTAGGCTCTTTGCTTTGATGATCAAGTTGTATTTGGCAGTGAAGACATCAACATAAGTAAAGAGAGAAGAAGGCAGCTCTTTGTTTAGTTCAGTGATTTTGTTCTTGAGTTGCTTGTTGAACTCAACTGCCACATTGTTCAGAGGCTTCAAACAACCATACTGATCTCGCGGTGTAGCGGGAAAAGATTTAAGAAGGTACGGTAAACAACCCGTTGGTCCGGTATTATGAATTGAGAAGAATCTTGCTCCTTCCTTGTACAACAACTAAGGAAACAAACAAAGTATGTTGTAAAGATTAGAGATTTATTTTATATAAGCGTAACGATAATTTTTTAGGTGCTTACTTTTAAGGCAATGGTGAAGTTTTCTATGATTGTAGGTATAGTTGCTTTGAGCTGTTCCTCTGTCGTGGTTTGGAACCCGATCGCGAGATCGTTCTGGCCGATATCAAATGTATAAAGAGCTTTTGAGAAATCTTTGGGACGTGAAAGGACTCCTTTGCATAATGGAGTTTTTCCTAAGACCAATAACAAAATTTCAACAAAATTTTCATATAAGAAGATGTGTTATAAGGCTGGTATAAACTTTAAATTATGGTTTGATAATTTGTATGACTTAAGACTATCATTAATGGTGGTATCTTAAGCAAAATTTACACTAGATAGTATCTTAGGAAATAAGATACTCTATAGTTTAAATCTTGCTTCTAAGATACCACCATTAATGATGCCCTAAACTAGTTGAACTTACCTTTGGTTTGGTTGTAAAGAGACAAGGTACGAGTCTTGAAGTGAATGAATTGTGACACTTGAGTCCCAAGATGGAACTGGCTAAAACAAGAAACCGTCGGACGGATGCAAGAACCGCCAGTCGCGAAATTAGCACCATGCCGGTAATTAGCTCCAACCGAATCCAAGAACGGTGTTAGATACGGCAAAGTGAGGTTTTCAGCTACCAAAAATGATAACAAATACATCGTCAAGATCTATACTAACCACAATTATCAACAAATAGATACACCAAATTTAAATACAAAAATCATTGTAGACATTACATATAATTGAATGCTTTAAAACAAAGATTTACTTACTAATGAAATCTATAATGAGACGGCCATCGGAATGTCGTCCGGCGGATCTTCCGAAAAAGGCAACGCCGTTCGGTGGAGGAACTTCTCCGATGGCCGCAGAGATAGCTCCGGTATCAGAATTCGAATCTCCAAAGTTATAAACAGCAGGGAAATTGCAACTATTAGATGATACGGCAGATAACGTAACAGTGAGACCGAGAAGTGAAAATATGATTCCAAGGGTTACTTTAGAAGTAGCCATGTTTAGTTGATGAGAAGAGCTTATTGGACAATACTAGGATTAGTCTGGTATTTATTGAAGTCGTCGCTTCACGATGTATATGGCATGTTAAGCTTTTATATTATTAACAAGTAGATGATTGAATAATTAGATATATCAAAGTTTTTATTTAGCAAGTTGGTTGATGTAATCACGTGGGGAGCTTTTTTGCTTGACTATTTTGCAGTCAATATTTTTTTAATGATTTTTGTGGATCAAATGTTTTACGTTTTCACAGTTTACCAAGCATTATGCGTATAATGACGGTATAAAGGTTAAGATTTGGATCCTCAAATTAATGATTTAAGCAAGAAAAGTAAATAACTTAGTTTATACTTTAGGAAATGTCTCATGCGTTAGATAGGTTTATAATTAATATTGTAAAATATGTAATAATTTTTAAATAAATTTATCTGAAAATATGTTAAGGTTTTTTTAAAATATGTGGCATCGCTGATCCGTGGGAGACGGTTCCTATTGTTTACAATAGGAATGGTGATCGATCGCTGATCCGTGGGAGACGGTTCCTATTGTTTACAATAGGAATGGTGACCGAATGTGATTTTTCTGGTTGCTTGTAGATGCTCGTGTAACCGTCGGATTTGCGTATCAGTTTATTCTAGTCATCGCATTTTTGCGTTAGTTTGCGGAGAAGCTGTAAGCGCCTTATTCCGAGGTTTTGAAGGCTGGCTTTTTAAGATTTGCTCGTTGCAACTAGGATGAGACTCTATTTTCTTGGCAACTTGACGGTGTGGAAATCACGCAAATTTCTGTTTTTGGCATTTCAGAATCAGTGTTTCTTGTTTTATTTCCGCTCTTGGTTAACGTTTTCCTTTTTTTTTTTTGCTGTTTTTTGTCTGTCTATTCTATAGTTTTTGGTTTTCCGCTACTTGTATTCTTTGTAATTTCTGTCAAAATTTCGAAAATGGTATAAATACTTAACATTTTAACAAAAAAATAATAATAATTAATTATATTTTATATTACAAAAATTTGTCGTTTATAATAAATAATTTATATATAGCTTCCAATACTAAACATTTTTAATAAATCGATTATGGTGTAATTAATTTACCGGTTTATTTTTATTTTTTTATTTTTTTTAACGCAATAAAACTTTATTAATCACCAAAAGTATTATCACAAATTCACAATGAATGAAATGATACAAATTGACTGGAATACAATTGTGATAAAAAAAAAACAGTAATATTTTCTGGAATTGGTTGCTTTGCCAAAAAATCAGCACCTCTGTTGCTTTCACGATGAATCCAGGAGAATTTACCGGTTTATTATTTGAGTTTTTGTCTTACTCATATTTTACTTACAATTTCAGTAATTGGTAAAATGAGATAATTTCCCTTTTAATTACCAAAAAAACAAAAAAAAAATGATAATTAGCCTTGGAGCTGCGTGCCCGGTTCCTCACGTATATTAGAGTCGGTTTAGTTAATGTAGCGCCGCATAGGTTTCCATATATTAAACAAGTCTTATTATAGCTTGTTGAAAGATTCAAACCTGAAGAAGCCAATGCTGAAGCGAAGCAAGCTCTCTCCTTCAACATTTTGAATTCATCGCAAAGAAGCTCTCTCTCTCTCTCTCTCTCTCTATCTCTCGTTGTCGCAGAATCATTTCTTCTCCGTTGTAGAATATGGGGAACTCTTTTCGCAAAGAACCACCGCCTCCGGTGGTGCTTGTCCCTCCGCTTTTTGATTACCCTCCTCTCTCCGCCCGTACTAGGTTAGATCCTTTCAGTTTTGTTACAATTCGAGCAGATTTTGTGTTAGTCTCTGTTTTTAAATCACCATATGGATTCTCGTAGATGAAATTTTGGAGTTCTGTAACTTAAAGTGGTTGTTTCGTTTCGAAAATTTTCCGGTTATGTACATTTATTTTGTGTGATTTGGTATACCTATGAATGTATTGAGAATGTGTAGTAGAAGCTGTTTCTATGCTTATGGATTCTGGCTAGTTGCAGTAATATTGGGGTTCTATGGCTTGAATTTGTTGTTTGGTTTCGGAAATTTTCATGTTGGGGGAATGTTAGTTTACATATGAATGTGTTGATTTTGAAATATTGTTGTTGTTGAGGTGATGCAGGATGTTGGAATCTTCATATAATTTGTTGTTTGGGAAGCTTGCGTTGAAATGTCTCTTTGAGGATTACTTTGAAGAAGCTAATAATTTCACAGCGAAGTTTTTGTTGAAGCCTATTGATGACCCTCATGTGGACTTGGTTGCATCTGTATCCATTTTGAAAACTCTTTTGTGTGTTTTATTTGTTATGTATAATGGTCTCTCGAGAAGTGTCGTACTTGTGGATGAATTGGGGAGAGTTGAGAATCGAAAATTTTCCTTAATAATCGAAGGTTTCGGGTGCAGTAGATGGTAGAAGGGAAGGAGATTTTGTTGGAAATGCGGAGTTTCGCTGGCAAAGGTATAGATTTTAGTTTTTATCTGGAAGATTACAAGTTGCTGTTGGAAAAGTAGAATTCTGATCAGTTTGTTTTTCTTCTTGAATGTGCAGTGATGTTGATGATCCCCATACTTTTGTGGACCTCTCTGTGTCAACTTCAAATCCGTAAACTCCGTGCTACTTTTGATATATACTACTGGGAGCTTTCGTTCACTACAGCAGTTTAATGTTTTTAAAAATATATGTTTTGTATGTCATCACTAAGGGTTCTACTGATGAGGTCTTCTGCTTACTACCCTAAATATGGGATTGGGGCATTTGCGGTCTACCCTTTGATTGCAAAACAGAAGTAAGTCACATTTAGGAGTAGATGCTGTCGTTTTACTTAGATTAGATGATTTGCTACAATGTAACATTCTGAAGATGAATAAATGTTGCCTCTTTAGTGAAAACATATCTGAAGCATATAGAATCATGGGTTTGAGATATGGCTCACCGAATTTGTCTCTTGGAGCGACTGTCACTCCTTTCTCTGGTGAGCACATTAAGCTCTTCTGCATGTTGCTGTTGTTGTTTTTGGATACGACACTGACCCTTTAATTCTTCAATTCAGAGAACGAATTGCCGAAACATGCATGGCTTGTAAGCAAGATGGGAAGTTTTACAGTAGGAGTGCAGTATGAGCCGCTACGTGAGTCAGTACATTGTTTTATTCCTGTCAAACGGATTTTACTGATCACATATGGAATCTATTATCTATACGTTATGTAATTGAAAGAAAGCAAGCATTGACATTGTTATTGGATTTTGTTATAGATGGAAGCGAAGATATGGCAAAGTACACAGACCCAAGAAACTGGAGTTGTGCTGCTGGCTATGCAGTAGGGTCAACAAGCCCGTTGAGCCCGTCGTTTAACATCGGCATTGAACTAGCAAGAAGCTCTCAGGTCTAGTTGAAAACATGGCTGTTTTGCTGTCTATATGCACAAATCTTATGCCCATATATTTTTTCTTAACTTCACATGGAACGTGACTAACTTACCATGTTTTTTATCCATTGGCATATCATTAAATTTGTTGCATTTTTAGTCTAGCTGATTGTGTTATCCTACATGTAAATGCAGTTTATCGCTTCATTCTACCAACACATAGTGGTCCAAAGACGGGTACAACTCTTTCAAACTAGTCCATTTCCTGTGCTGCATCTATTTCTAGCTACCATATATAAAGTTCAGCTTGGCTCAATATGAAATGGACTTAATGGACTTGGAACAGGTGAAAAATCCCTTTGAAGAAAACCAAGTAGTTGGTATCACAAACTACATTGATTTAGGTTTCGAGCTACAATCAAGGTAGTGAACATCTCTAAGTTAAAAAAACTGTTGCTAATGTTTATCCATACGAAAACATAGCTTTAATTTCGTCTTTAATATTGAAGGGTTGATGATTCCAAGAAACCAGACAATACCGGAGATTCTTTATTGCAGATGGCTGCGTCTTGGCAAGCCAATAAAAACTTCTTGCTGAAGGTACCAAACATATACCTTTCCTGAGTTACCCAAAATGTTATGAAAAGCGTTATGAAAGAAACCAGCTATCTCAGTATATAACAATTTCAATTATTGTAGGGTAAAATGGGAGCTCGAAGCTCAACACTCTCATTAGCATTCAAGTCGTGGTGGAAACCATCTTTCGCATTCAATATTTCAGGTATGCTTTGACTAACAAATCAGGAGACTCATGATCTGCGGCATATAAATTCAGTAAAATCCAGATGAATTTAGGTTCTTGGTCTTTGAAACATATTGAGCTCATTTTTATATGCAGCAACGACTAATCATCGGACTGGTAACGTCGAATGTGGGTTTGGTATCCGTGTTGATAACATAAGAGAAGCCAGGTCAGTCCATTTATGTCCAGTTTGAGATCAATCAAACCCTCTTTAACTTTGTTATATGATCTTCACATTTTTTTTGTAATCATCTTGACAATGCAGTTACCAGAGAGCCGATCCAAACTTTGTAATGCTGACACCGAACAAAGAACATTTAGCTGAAGGGATTGTTTGGAAAATGGGGAAGAGGCCAATGTATCAATCTGATGTGGACTCACAGAACTTCAATGAAGTGCCAAAAGAGCTTAGACCGTCCCAGAAGATTCTCTAAACTTTTTAACCTTTATATTTGTTTTGCAGTTTTATCTACTAGAGATATATACTCGACCAAGTCAGGTTTCTAATAAGTTGGAGTTAAGAGCTAATCTATAGAAATAGGAATATCCATTATTTACTCGTAGGATACAAGTTTAAATTTTCTATTGTTCAAAATTAAGGGGCAATTGGATTCTTAAAAGTTTTATGAGAAGCAAAATCATATAAAATCTTTTCTGAGTTGGTTCGGTATTTTGGTTTGAGTTGGTTTGGTTTTATTATAAGATAACTTAGAAATAAAAGAAATAAAAAATTCATCTGATATTACTATTGTTTACTATTGTATGATTTTCTATATAATTAAAGAAAGTCATTGTTGCTCTCTTCAAATCTTTTTCACCATTATTTTTTTCTGTTTCTTATTTAAATTAAAACATACTAGTTTTTTTCTTTATCAATAAGTATTACTAAACCTGCAAAGAGAGTAAAAAAGCCAGAAAAAGAAAACAAAACAAATTAAAAGTTTTGAACCACTCAAAAGCCCGAATAATTTGAGATTAAGATTGTCAAAAGTCGAAACGACGAATTAATCCGAAATTTTAGAGTCAAAACCCAAATGAATGCTTCCGATCATTGTTTGAAAACAAAAAAATGTTTACTTACAAAAATCCGTTCCTAAAAAAAATACGTTTTGTTTTATTTGAAAAGAAAAATGAGTGAATAAATTATAAATACTAATTAGACATGTGAAAAAAACTATCTCGGTGTTGAAAATTAATTATAAAATCTTGAGGAAACAAATTTCACATTTTTTTGTTTAAACCAATAATAAAATGTTGTGAGAATACCAAGTGTTAATAGCTCAATTGGTAAAGATTTTTGGCAAAAGCTTAGAGGTCGCCGGTTCGAGTAGCGCTTGGGACGAGATTATATAACATGCTTTGGCCTCGGGCTTGAGGAGATGTATGGGTTTCGGCCCATAACCTCTTTGATTATTCAAAAAAAAAAAAAATGTTGTGAGAAAAGAATAACAAAATTTGATTCAATTTCGGTTCAATTCGGTTATTTCGGTTCCGTATTCAAACCGATCCAATTTAAAAATCTATTATTTTCAAAGGTTATTATTTTTAAAAAAATTAAATAAGAAAATGAAATAAAACAGAGGCCACAATCCCATTGTCCCAGAAAACAAAGTAATGGCGACGACGACGAGTTGTTCGCTTCTCCTTTCTACTCTCTTCCTTCACTCTCCTCCTTCTTCTCAATTCTCAAACTCATCTTCCTTCTTCAACCTCTCTCCTTCACGATCTTCGATTTCTCTCTACCCAATCCGATCCAAACGGTATTTTCGAATTTTCTCCAAGCTTCCACTAAACGACAAATACGACGATGATACTCTTCTTCTTACTCCGTTATCCTCCGCCGTTAAACCTTTCTTCCTCCTCTGCACCTCCGTCGCTTTATCGTTTTCGTTGTTCTCCGCGTCTCCCGCTTCGGCGTTTGTAGTTAGTACTCCGAAGAAGCTTCAGACTGATGAGCTCGCGACTGTTAGGTTGTTTCAAGAGAATACTCCTTCCGTTGTTTACATCACTAATCTCGCTGTGAGGTATGAGTTTACCGATCTTGAATTGGTGAATTTTAGCTATGAATTGCGTTGTTTGTGGGATGAATCGGGAGTTGTCTAATGTGATTTGGTTTCTATGGGTTTGAATTAGGCAGGACGCGTTTACATTGGACGTGCTTGAGGTGCCTCAAGGTTCTGGTTCAGGATTTGTGTGGGATAAGCAAGGTCACATTGTTACCAATTATCATGTGATTCGTGGTGCTTCTGATCTAAGGTTAGTTATCTTGAAACTTTGAGAATCTGATTGATTTGGATACTTTGAACTTCACTTGTTTGAGAGTTCTGTGAAATTAGGTTGTTTAGTGGTTATATTATACTGGAAGAAGTAGTAATTGTATCATCGAAGATATGTAGATTAGTAGTTGCGGTGCGGTATCATGATTCATGAATTTGAAATTGAATACACTGTTTGCTTGGATGTTCCCTTCCCTTGAATTTGAAGTTGTATGATCCATATAACAGGGTCACTCTTGCTGATCAATCGACATTTGATGCGAAAGTTGTTGGATTCGACCAAGACAAGGATGTTGCAGTTTTACGTATTGATGCACCGAAAGACAAATTAAGACCTATACCTGTTGGAGTCTCTGCAGATCTGCTTGTTGGCCAGAAAGTCTTTGCCATTGGCAATCCTGTGAGTATACATCCTTAGTATGATCATATATATGTGATCTGCTTTGTGCTTTCTATCACTGTCTTGGTCAATACTTATGTTTCCTGTACATAAGCAAGCACTAAAGCAAGAACCTTTTTGTGTAGTTTGGACTTGATCACACTCTTACAACTGGTGTTATTAGGTATGTTTGATTATCTTTTTCTCCTCATTTTTAGTTGCATTACCTCAATCTTTGCTGTATTATTTCCATGATTACGCTGGATTTAATTTACTGGCATATGAAAAGGCCAAATTATATGATTGGAAGGTGAGGATACATATTTCCTTTGTGCCCTTCCATGCCAAATGGGTTTACTTTACTAAACATAGACAACAAGATATATTCATTTTCTGGTCTTTTCTCTTCTTAAAACTGTAGCATGTTTGTGTATTGTGATTTGTACAGTGGTTTGCGAAGAGAAATTAGTTCTGCTGCAACTGGTCGTCCAATTCAAGATGTTATACAAACAGATGCAGCCATCAACCCTGGTAACAGCGGAGGACCTCTTCTAGATAGTTCGGGAACGCTGATTGGTATAAACACAGCCATTTATTCTCCTTCTGGTGCATCTTCTGGAGTGGGCTTTTCAATCCCAGTTGACACCGTGAGTTCTCTCTCCTTTTTTTTTTTCCAATTTCAAACCCGATCAGAGAGTTGTCTTCTATACTCGAATCCACCAATGGGAGAGTAAAGTTGTTTCGAGCTCTCTTTCTCTTATGCTCAGGTCGGTGGCATTGTTGATCAGTTAGTGAAATTCGGTAAAGTCACAAGACCGATCTTAGGTATCAAATTCGCACCAGACCAATCTGTTGAACAATTGGGAGTAAGTGGTGTGCTCGTCTTGGATGCTCCTCCGAGTGGTCCAGCTGGGAAAGCCGTAAGCTCTTCTTGTTTAAGTTCCCGTACACGATATATTTGTCTTAAGTTTCACTCTAAGGGTTTAACATATCAAAATGTGTGTGATGATGGTTTTGTTCTACAGGGACTTCAATCAACAAAACGTGATGGTTACGGGAGATTAGTACTAGGAGACATAATCACGTCAGTGAACGGTACAAAAGTCTCAAACGGGAGTGACCTGTACCGGATTCTCGATCAATGCAAAGTCGGCGATGAGGTAAAATCCTAAGTCCAAAAAAACCGCCTTTTCGTCAACTGTGTGAGAGTTTTTACACTGTTGATTTTTTGAGTAGGTGACTGTAGAGGTTCTAAGAGGCGACCACAAGGAGAAAATATCTGTAACTCTCGAACCAAAGCCGGACGAGTCTTAGAAACGTCGTTGAAAGAAGTAAATATATAACGTGTAGAAAAAAAGTGCCCGGTGGTTGATTATATTGTTGTATATCAATTGTTCGGAAAATAGATCGTCCAATTGTGTACATAAAAAATCTGTTTATATTGCGTAACCGGAAATAACCAAAATTGGAATGTCTTGAACCGGTCTTATGGGTTGGATTGGTTTCTATTTTCGGTTTAGGCTTTAGACCTTAAATGTGTTTATTTAAAAATAAGTTGAACTAATTGGGAAGAAGACATTGGAATGACGAGTCTAAGACCTTAGACAAAATGAGATAATTTGAACCCATATCGTAATTTGAACCCATATCGTTGGCTTACCACTACTATCGATTGTAATTTGATCAACCTTATATAAAGAATTATATTTTATCTATTTTTTTTTTTTGTAATAATTTAAAAACAGATTCAAAGACTTAAACAAAAAACCCTAAATAAAAGAAGTACATGTTTAAGATCTAATTAAAAAGATTGTGTTCCGGAAAATGCCAAAGGAAACATATTTAATGATTTTCATTTAGTTTATATTTTGTTTATTTGGGAAACTCGAAATGATAAACTTTTTTGAAAATATGCATTGTGATTTGCATGAGGTTCTACAATTAGTAGAAATTGAAGTGCAAACTTGGATCACAGCATAGTTGGGAAAAGTTTTATCTACATGATTTGACGAGAATGATTTTATAAAATATTAATATTTTATAAATAATTGTTGAAAAGATTATAATCCGATTTATTTTTAGAATTAAGATAGTATTGTTGCAAAATAAATTTCAAGCGCCAACTATAGGTGCTTGCAACCTTCACATTGTTCGTTCTCTCATACATTTAGAATTTGAGGATCTATTGTGGACAATGAGAAGCATACTCAGCTAAACATTAGATCAAAATATGTTTTGTCAAAATTTGCCCTCATATTTGGTGAAGAAGGTGTGTGCACCTATAAAGTGGCCAACTTTGGTAACATATTTGGAAGAAATAATGAACACTAATTTTTTTTAATCATTTTATTTATTACTTTTCTTACCCTAATTTATATTAACATTTTTGCAGCATTTTTTTGAAAAAGAACCTTGGAGTTGGAAGTTATTTACAAAGCTATGCCATTTGCATTAACTATTTAGTTAAAATTTTAAAAACTAATAATAATCATTTTTAACAAAATTGCTAAAATCTCTCCCTAATAAATGTAATATCATTACTTATTTTCCACCTTTTCTCAAATATTTCTCCAAAATCTTTATATGATCTTATTTGTTTTTTATTTTATTTTATGACATAAAACTTATTTTTAGTATACGTACAACATCCCATATCGGCATAATTTTTTTGATAATAGTTCAAAATCTTTATAAAAAAGATTATAACTTTCGAACTACGAATGACGGCAGTGGTAGAGCTAGAAAATTTAGTCACCTGTGTCATAAAATTTATTTAAAAAATATATTAATTATATCAAAAAAATATTATTCACTACTGTTCAACCGGGTGAAATAAGAAGAGGGAAAGAGTCATGTTTTAAGAGAAAATAGACATTTTACCATTTACTACCGTTCAACCGAGTGAAATAAGAAAATGGAGAGAGAATCATGTGTTTTACGAGAAATTAGCCTAACATCGTTTAGAGATTGATTTTTAAAAATCAACGTTAATTTTAGCAACAAAACAAATTAAACTTTGTTAAAGATTTTTCCAACATCAACAAATTGTCAAAATTAATATTTTGAATTATAAAGAAAATTAATTGCATATTTTTTTTCTTTCCTTTTTTGACATAAAAAAATTATAAGAATGATATGAAGACTATCAATAGATTTCTAAATTAATAGTATATTGATATATCAAACTTGTTTGAGAAGGGTCAAAAGTATCTGGGAAGTGTGAATAGGTTTCTTGAACATGTGTTGATTAATTATTTTACCAAAAGCTAAACTGGAAACTATAATTTCATGGTGTCATGACACCCATGATTGTTCTTTCCCTCCGCCACTGAATAACGGGACTACAAACATGAGTTTAATTTTTTTTGGGAATATATGACGGGACAAGTTGTAAGACGGGAATGGTTGTTAACTATATATAAAGTTAAAAATATTTTAAATATTTTCATTTTTTTTAAAGTTTCAGTTAATATTTTAAATCTACATCAAGTTTATACTAAAATATTATTGCTTTTGCTATTTTTTTAAACATGAATTTATTTTTTTGGCGATTATATGACATGACGGGGTATAATACGAGAAAAGTTGTAATATGCTTCCAACTGATTATATAATTGGATGGGCTGTAAGACGGAATGGGTTTAAGTTGATATTACTAAAAAAATTCTAATATTATTAATCTCACAGTTCAATACGGATCATTTTACTATTTTCTTAACAATATTGTTTTGTATAATTAAACTTATTTAGTAAAGTTTGATATGCAATCTTAATTATTATTAAACAAACTCCAACAAAACCTATCGATTTTCAAGAACATGAATTACAAAGAAAATGTTTATCCCGTGATATACCGCGAGTTAAAATCTAGTACATATGTAAAAATGGATAAATTAGTACATAATGTTTGAATAAATCTACATCTTATTTTTGTCTTCATAAAATTTTCATGATTTAACAAAGTTGAATATTCAGAGTAGGCTTATAACTTAAAACCAAATGATCATCAAAGGTATCTATTCGACATTAGGTTTGTTCGTATAATTATTCAAAAGTAACCTAACTTTGATAACTTTAACACGCTTTCATAATCTCTCTCTCTTATACGTTTTAATGGTTCTAGCTAGTGACAATTTAATCAAACTTAGGTGTGCATGCGACTCTTGGATGCATGGTTGTGTAATGTTGGAGAAGAATGGTAGCTACTAGCTAAAGCTTTGACAAACAAACAAGTTTGAGGTAAATTATATAACACATTTTCATTACAATCTCTGTAGTCTTTTTATTTTTATCGCACACGTTATAACCCAAACCCATCAAATATTACCCACGCAGTAAGTGACAACGACACGAATCTGTGCCCTGTGGTGATGATCAGGGGAAGAAACGTCCCTACGTGGAAATTTAATATATGTGTCATCTCTTTTTAAGCAACACCAACAAGACACTGACATATTTGTATTTCTAAAATAAATTTGTAAATAAGGAATCTATATTATCTTCTATGGTTGGGTAAGTGTGTAGTATCTAAAATTTAAACCAAACCGGTTTAGTAGGGTTTTTGTATATTTTTTTTTGTTGGCATTGTGTGTTTCAATTCGTGGGGTCATAAATCAGTGGGTACGTAGCTCTCGTGAACCAAAATAGGAAGAGATGAAGTATGTGTGGTAGGAAGAGACAAGTGACGAGCAAATCTTCTATGATCCCCACAACTAAGCAAACTCATTAATTGAGACACAACATATCTTCGTTACCTATTCACTATTTATTCTCTCTATACCGCTTAACTTGTTAGTTGGGACGACTTGGGACGTCTACGTTATATGATACATACTCAAATATATACGAAATGATACATACTCAAATATATACGAAATGTTGTTGCACTAATACATACATACTATATAAATGATCAAATATACAATATTATGTTGTATGCATGTAACATATAACTATAGTTATCTATATCAGGATCAAAGTTCGGAATCTATTTGGATTGATATGTTAGTTCGTATAGTTCGTAGGGAAACAAAACGTTTTTCCATTTTAAATCATATAGTTCTATATATAGAGAGATGCTCGAACTCGTTGAGTGACATAATTAATAAATATATTGGCTAGCTAAGCTGCCTGATTAACTCCTGTTGTTCTATATGTGGTGGACTGTTGAACTTTAAGATAGGTTGTTCACACTCTGTTCTATATATAACTAAACGTCAATATCAAATTTAATATTCCAACAAACAAACAAAAACATTGGCAAATTTTTAGTTAATTTGGTCTTTACGTACGTAAGTTCTTATCAAAACAAAACAATATAACATTAGTATATTGTTGATTATACAATGGAATAATCAATAAAAAAACTTTGTTAACATGGAATCAATTAGAGAAAGACAAGTGGGCTAGTGGTTCTCACCTCTATTGCCTTCTCACCAGATACGGGTTCGAGTCCGATCTCTCTTTGATTGAGACGTATAATTTGTAATGATGACAAAAATAAAACATAGAGTCAATTATAATTACGAATCTGCTCCTCATGTAATCGATTATTATTATTATTATTAGTTTTTTTATTATGGCAGTAAATTTATATTATATTTAATTTATTTATTGCCGGTATATATAAAATAAAAATAAAAATACAGTACGTAGCCGGTAACGTAGTGTAACAGAGGATAAGGCTATGTTATATATATAAGGTATATTATTATATTATGTACATAGCTAGCCATGATTACCCAAAGATACGTATTGATGACTGATGAGTGAGTGTGTATATATAAGCACCTGTCATGAAACCTCTATTAGAATAAGCCTCACACTAGTCACTTCTCACAATCATCTCTTTTTCTCTCACACACACTCACAAAAAAAAAACACAAAAACAATCAGAGAATCTTAAAAAAGAGGAAGATGAGAATAAGGAGAAGAGAAGAAAGAGAGAATCAAGAATTCAAGAAAGGTTTATGGACAGTTGAAGAAGACAACATCCTTATGGACTATGTTCTTACTCATGGCACTGGCCAATGGAACCGCATCGTCAGAAAAACTGGTTTGTACCATCTCTATCTAGCTCTAGCTCTCTCATTGTGACTTCATGGGTTTTAGTTTTTAACGTTAGTTTCTTGATTTTGATGAAAATGTTTAGGGCTAAAGAGATGTGGCAAAAGTTGTAGACTGAGATGGATGAATTATCTAAGCCCTAATGTGAATAAAGGCACTTTCACTGAACAAGAAGAAGACCTCATTATTCGTCTCCACAAGCTCCTCGGCAATAGGTACATACATAACATTTTTTTTGATGATACTATACTATATTATATCCAATATCTTTGAATTTAATCTTTAATTTGGTTATGTGGAAGAGTTTTAAGTGAAAAATACTTGAGTGCCTTATTTGCAAATGTAAAAATAAAGAGAGTAGCTACACAAAGGTGTTTCTCCATAGATTCATGTGTTGGTGGATTACTTCAATTTTAGAAACCTGTTTTCTCCTTAAATTCTTCAAGAATATATATAACTTTCAAACTTTAAATATATATATACTCAATTTTTCTTTTTATTTTTTAAGATAGACACTATTTTTCATAAATGTATTGTGCGAATAGTCACTTTTCAAATTAAATTCATTACACAAATAGAAACGTTTTCCACAATTCAAGAAACAAAGAAAAAAAACTTTCTCTAAGTGTGTATATTAAAATTCAATTCATTCATTTATGAATCATATTCAGATGTCACATTTGTTTTATTATAAATCTTATAATCAGGTCCATAGATGCATAGACCATAATATTTATTTAGTATAGGTTATATTTCATGTTACATAATGTAAATTTATTTATGATACTTTTTTTTTTCCACAATTCAGATGGTCTTTAATAGCTAAAAGAGTACCGGGAAGAACAGATAACCAAGTCAAGAATTATTGGAACACTCATCTCAGCAAAAAACTCGTCGGAGATTACCCATCCGCCGTCAAAACCACCGGAGACGACGAAGACTCTCAGCCGTCATTGTTCATCACAGCCACCACAACTTCTTCTCTTCATCATCAACAAGAAAATATCTACGAGAACTTAGCCAAGAGCTTCGACAACGTTGTATCAGCTTCGTACGAGGATAAACCAAAACCGGAACCAGACCAAACTGATGTCTTAGTGGCAACTACTAATGATCCAAGTCATTATTATGGTAATAACACTTTGTGGGATCATGAAGACGAGTTCGAGTTGAGTTCACTTGTTATGATGAATTTTGCTTCTGGTGATATTGAGTATTGCCTCTAAGTTTAATTATTGCTTTTTTGTTTTTTTGAGTTTTGTCTTTTGTTCTAAGATAAAAATAACGATTAATTATGGATACGGATGTCATATGAATATTGATATCAATACTAATACGTACTTCTTTATATTTTCAAAAAGAGCAATAAATTCAACCATGTGCAGAAAAAAACTATTTAAAAAAACATCAAATTTACCTTCTGCAATTTTTTCCATCAAATTTTGATTTAAGTAAACAATATACAGTTTTTTTTAATTAAACTTTAATGATTCCGTGAAAATTTGAATATATTTTCTTTCGAAGAAAAAAGAATTTAAGAATAAGTTTTAGTAGTATATTTTGGAGATGAATATCTTGAATTCAAGATAAATTAGAAATATAAAGAGAAAAACGAATGCTATAAACAAAAACGTAACAAAAAAAGACACAAACGATATAACCATTTAAGTAAATTTTAAAGAAAGATATCGATTCTAATCCGCGAAACTAAGTGCTTGAATAGTTGTTGATTTTGAAGTTAATTTTAGTTTTAGTTTTTTCAAATATCAACAAGATTATGAAAAGTTTTAATTTGCCAAACGGATTTTCATTAATTATGAAAACATTTAGCTATAACATGTTAGCTAGGTTAAAAATTCTATTATATATGTGTATATTCATGGTGAACATAGTGACATATAACTAATAATTTACTTGCATCCCAAACTAATATCCGATCCAATCCTTAAGTAACTAACAAGTGAATATTATTTCACAAATCATACGTTACATATTGATAGTCACGAAGAAGATGTTCTGAATTCTGATGCATGTGCATGTGGCGTTCTTAGTTCTTAATAAGTCCTAAAAGGATAAAATTAAAAACATGAAAGTTAGTTGAGAGTTAAGACGTAAGAAGGACTGTTGAGTACTCTTTTCATTTTGATTATTCCTTTATAGTAATAATACAAAGTGTTCCAACCAAAAAAGAAAGAACGAAAGAAAATTAGATAAAAAACATTATTGTCTATATTAATATTCTATCTGTAATAAATTTGTCCTGTCACATATCAGCTAACAACAAAGTTGTGATAACTGAGTCCTACCAAAAAAAAAAAGTTGTGATAACTGAGCACGTTGTGTTATTTATCCTCATCAGCCTATGTTTCAATTTAAATTACTCAACATGATCATATCTAGCTTTAGAGCATCCTTATTGCAAGGATTTTACACAAGGATTCTTCTGAGATTTGTGTAAAATCCTTGCAATAAAGATGGTCTAAAAAACTATATCAAAACCGCGATAAAAACTTTATCGAAATAATATAGAATCCGGGATAAAAATATCTTATATTAAGTATTTTTTGTATATTTTTTTATAAAAAAAACTTTATCGAATCCGCGATAAAAACTTCATCGAAATGTTAAAGAGCGAACTTCTTTTTTCGAAAGATGGTTTTTAAAATGTTATGAGACTGTTTATATTGTGTTATCACTTGTTCTTGAGTTCATGGTTATATCAACCACAGCCACATACGTACGGGTAGGTCGACTCGACACGTCCATTTAATATTTAACCGCACTGGGTACGTAGTAAATAACATCAGATATGGGACACACAAAGTAAGATATCGCAGCAATAATTGAATTTAAAACCACTGATACCCCCCAAAAAAAATATACATTGATATAAATAAATCACACGTTTTCTCTTTCATAGTAGTACATGACCATGTAGAAGAAATCATTGCTAAAATTCTTACAAAAAAAATTGTATTCAATGTTTCTTAAAAACGAGATTATTAGTTTGGAGAAACTATATTGTAATTTATTTTATTTTATATTTACAGCAAGTATTTGTTGTTTGTAAGTAGTACTAACACAATAACAACATAATAATTCTCCAACCAAAATTGAATATGATAAACAAACTTGTAATGATCATTACTAGAGAGAGTGCATTTGATATGTCTCGTCATATTTGGATGAAACCTGATCCAAATAAGGAGATAGCATACTATAATAATTTGGTTCTTACAACTTGTTTTACTTTTGTTTATAAAATCATCACCTAGTAGTGACCCTAATCTACTTAACCCAAAACCTCTAAAAAGACTACTCACTAAACGCCATAAAATTCCAAGAAATTGTTATTAATCCTTAAACTTGAACGTTTAGAGAAGAGTAGTGGACACAAACCAGGTCGATCTTGGACAAACCGGATCGAATCTGATTTTAAAACATCTCATACACAAGGATAAAAAACAATGATGCAATATTTCGATGTACTTGTAGATCACATTGGTATCTTCAGAACATTCGGCATCAGCCAAGCAACTTCGATGCAACAATACTTAGATGTACTTGCAGGACGCCTTCTCTTCTCACTTTTGGTTCCTCTTTATTACATAGCTTAGTTCATCTCTTTAAACTTTATTTTTGCTCCTAATATCTCCAAAACTCCAATGTCCACACACAGTGAATCTAGAAATGGCCAATGCAATGCAAAATGCACCTAAAAACTTAAACATGAATGCAAAATGATGGAAATCCAAAGGAAATATATAATGAAGCTGTAAAACTGATAAAAAATAAGGTATTCTCATGATCGATCATGTTTCAGGATGTTTGTTGATCTTAATGATCATCTTGTAACAAGGGAGAAATTAACTTAATTTTACAACAATATATATAAGTCCATGTTATATCAATATATCATCTTGAAAGACATTTTCATGATAATTCATTTAAGGATAATAATAATCTACCTGAGATGATGAAGGATCAGATTTATAAGAGGAAAAGGTGATTTTTATTATAGGTCCTATCCTCGAGGGGTCTAAGATCTAATAAGCTATTTGGTGAGAATTATTGGTTAAAAAAGGAATAACCATGTCATTGAGGGAGATGGAAATACTTGGAGCATGGTTAATGAATCCCACTAATATGGAAAGAGAAAAGAAAGTATAAGAAGGTTAAAAGGAGGGATGTCCCGGTGAGGGTACTGTACTGATACGTGGGAGATACGCCATCCACCAATGCTCTACCAATACAGAAGAAAGAACAGGGCCTAACAGTCAGAGCAGAAGAAAGCCCAGTAAGAAGAAGGTTTCAGAAGCTAGTAGAGGAGATTAAGGATGAGCTTGGAGCCTTGGTTACCTGAGTTAAGCTTTAGTAAACCTTAGTAAGTTAATAAACTGTGGTTAAGCCAGTTGTCATTCAACCACATGCTTTATGCCTAACGGCTTTGTGAGGAGAGAGTAGTATAAGGAGAGAAGGGTGGGTTTTGGAATCACTATCAAGGTTTTGGTGAACTTTGTAAGGAGGTGGGAGAGAACCGTAAGTCTCTCAAAGTTGTTCTTTTCTTATCAATAATCAATAAAGTTGCAGACTTTCTCTATTATACTTTGTTCTTGTGAGTTTACTGATCTAAAACCTATCAAATTGGTATCAGAGCGGTATGATTCTGGGCAAACACAAACCCATCTCAATGGCGACCAAGAAGGTGGAGGAATTGGAGAAAACAGTCGACGGTCTCCAAAAAGACATCAAAAAGCTCACCGCTTTGGAAGACGACGTCCACGGCATGAAAAAGCAGCTTGAGAAATTGGATGTTATCGAGAAGCAAATGGCTAAACTAGACGTGCTCGAGTTGTTACAGAAACGCCTCATGGGGGAAGAGAGACGTTCATGGGTTCCGGAGAAAGAAGCTGGTGATGAGACTCAACCTTCAGACACAGACGCGAGCCTCACCAACGTGGTCCAGCGGTTGTTCACACCGACACTAACACCACCAACGGTTCCGACGACGATACCGACGCCAGCACATGACGACAAGACCGAAAAGTCCGAACCTTTGACACGCAAAATCGAGGTTCCTCTGTTTGATGGAGAAAATGTGGAGTTTTGGGTTCAACGGGTCGAACAATACTTTGAGATGGGGGATTTCACTGAAGCGGAGAAACTCAAGGCTGTTCGGATGTGTTTTGATGGGGAAGCGCTGACATGGTATCGTTGGGAAAGAGATCGCACTCCATTCTTGGGTTGGGAACAGCTTAAAGATCGCATCTTGGAGAACTTTTCCCTTACTCATGATCTCACAGCATGAGAGAGACTTCTCTTACTCCGTCAGAACGAGACAGTCAGCCACTACTGCAAACGATTCATTGCTCTCGCATCTAACGCGCCGGAGGTGACAGAGAAAGTTCTGGAGATGGCGTTTATGATTGGCCTCCAACCTAAGATCTGGGCTGGTGTAAAGATGTTTGAACCGCGGGGGTTGAAGAAAATGATGAGCTTGGCTCGGCGAGTCGAAGAATGGTCCGGCGAAGCGACGACAGAGGACTTACCGGAGAAGACGACACCACGATTTGGAGGAGAAAGACAAAACACGCGTATTACGTCTTTCTCCACAGGAGGGGCAAACTTGTCTTTTCCTAAGGGAAACAACAATACAGACAAAACAACGGCACCGTTTCGACCCCATGGAGAAAAAAACCAAATCCAGCCTAAACCTAATCCACCACGGCGACCTCCTTACCGCCGGCTGACAGATGCAGAAGCAAGCGAAAGGAAGGCTAAGGGGATTTGTTTTAGATGTGATGAAAGGTATCAACCGGGGCACAAGTGTCGTTACAAAGATCTTATGGTCCTTGTGGTGAGTGATGAGTTAGCAGAGGAAGGCGAGGACGCGGCGAGGGAGGAGGAATTCATTGACGCGGTCACCGGCGATGTTGCGGAGTGCGCTGTTCGGTCACTAAGCTCGGCCGCTGGTTTCTCTTCCCCACGAACAATGAAGCTTCGAGGCAGGATTCAACAGGCAGAAGTCATTATCCTCATCGATAGCGGGACTTCTCATAATTTCTTGTCTCAGACAATGGCTATGCAATTGCGAATCGAAACTTCAGGAACAAAGGAGTACGGGGTGCGTATGGGCACGGGACTTACAGTTCTTGGCACTGGGGTGTGCAGAAATGTTTCTCTAGAGTTGCTTGAATATACTCTGGTTACAAGCTTCTTACCTCTCGATCTCGGCGGAGTAGATGTTATCCA